CACACACACACACACACACACACACACACACACACACACCCCATAAGGCACCAGCATGGGGTTGAGCTCCTCTGATTAGTAACTTTTCCACAGAAGGCTAAGGACCCTGTAGAGGGGACCCAGAGAGAACCAGAGCAACTTCCTTGGGTGACACAGTGCCATCCGAACCTATTATTATCATGGAATAAAAATCAGTTATCTGCACTGAGGAAATACTACCACTCCTAAAATCGACACTTTCTCCTACAATGACTCGGGGAGTTTGACCCACAGCACATGAGCTGGCAAAGACCTGGAATCCGGGGTATCAGAAAAGCCTATTAATCCATCCCGGAAGGGAAGTGGAGATGGCAGCTGGATGTGCTCAGCATGGTGGAGTAGTGCCACCCCGAGAGGAGTTAGAGATGGGGTTTCTCAGGAAATTCTCTAAAGTCCCTAACGAAAAGGAACACAGGACAAAGGCCAGGTAATTAGAGAAAAGTTTCATATTATGTAACCAAAGCCAAATCCTCTCCCTTTAGATTAGGTACTGGCTCCTGCAGGGTTGCCCTCCTTTGTGGAGGATCCCATGTACCCCAATGCTCAGAATCTAAATAATTTGGCTTGCGTGAACCTTCCAGAATGGGTAACATGACATTCATGTCAACTTTCCAACTAAAGTATCACTCATGGACTTCCTCAAGGTCAGAGAAAGCTGTGGTGGGAGAGGGTGTAGGTTTTAAGAGAAGGTGATTTCTATGTGAAGAAGTGCAGAAATGGATCAAATGGTTCTTGGTTGCTCCATGGGCCTGGAGAATTCCTGCCTGGTATTCTTAGAGCCCTCAAGTTTATATGCAGGAGGGTAAGGAAGAGGAGGGTGAGCAGGCACCAGGTCAGCAGGGGTTCGCTTGCCACAGCATCTGAGGGTGCAGGTTTCAGACCCCCCTGAAGCAGTGCCTCCTGAACTGTCAGGAGAGGAGAAGGGAGCCATCCTCTTTCTATAGAGCATAAAAGGGACAAAAGAGGATGGGTCACCAGATGCTGTACCAAGCCCTCCCCCGAGGCTTCCCAACGTGGAGGAACTACACAAGTTGGGCAGGGGATTTGAGAATCAAGGACAGATGGTCTGTAAATCAACAGAGCTGTGCAAAGGGCTCCCTCAGAAGGCCTCTTAGAGGTCAAATGCTCTGGGCACTTCCTGCTTCCACACACCACCCCGCCCTGCATCAGCTCATCCCACCACCCCAACGTGGAATCCATCTCTCAGCTTCCCTACC